ATTCTTTCAGCTGATAAGAAAAGATGGTTTTGCTTTGTGTTCTAATTTGGGGTAAGTAGAAATAGTGGCATTTATGGTTTGAGTAAACTACTGAACTGAAATGCCTAGTTTCAAAATTAGAATTTTAAAAAATGTAAACACACATTATTATTATTATTGACCACACACTATGGAAGATCAGGGCCATTGAGCGATGGGCTTGCATTTGCACCCCTACATCCATTCCTGGTTTTCTACATTGCACAATCAGAATAATGGCCTGAACACGACCACAGTTGTTTCAGTTTGGGGATTTTTTTTTTCTGATGCGCATAGGTTAGAGGGGAGATCCCTATCACAATCCTGTTTCGTTATCTCATCCCAGTACAAGTTTCCAGAGTATGTTGTTAAACATCAAATATTTACTCTTCAGCAGCCTTGGATGCCAAGAACACATAACTCTTCTTTGAACTTGGACTCTAACTAGTGATCCATTGTCATCATTTCAATTCAGCTTTGGATGAAACATTAATGGAAGGGGGAGGGAGGCGGTATAAAAGTTATAGGCTGATGAAGAAATCACTTACTGCATTATTGATTGGACTAACTTACCAATGTTATGTGTCCTGCCAATTTACTTTGGCAGGCAAGCCTTCACACAGAGAGAGAGAGAGAGAGAGAGAGAGAGAGAGCGCACAAACCAATATGTAGACATTTTGCTGCCTGTGTGAATGACAAGATGCCTGCACGTCTATATAGATAAGCAGGATGGAGTGGTAGTTGAATCTTACTTTAGCACGGGCAAAGCGATAGCATCCTTCACCTCATATGAAGGTTTCAGGCTATATTGAGGGGTGCACAAAAGGTCACACAGCACACAAAAAGAAGCACAGGATACCATGTGCTCATTGCTGCACCTGACACCTGCTTGCTGCTCATTTAAACAGATGACACAATACAGCAACGGTGAGCAGAGCAATGCAAACACATATGTGCTACCAGCTGCAGTGCACGGTCTGACTTCTTGGGGCCTTCCCCAAGATGTTGCACAACTGGGGTTTATACCGTGGGCTACAGCTCCTTCCTTGCATAATTTATTCTGATATCACCAAGTTGGGCACTTTTCTTTTGGGTGAAGACAGAGGGAAAGTAGGTGTTGAGCAGTTTCGCCTTCTCTCTATCACCCAATAGCATTTCTCTGTCTTCACCTTGCAGAGGACCTGCCATTTGTTTGTTCTTCCTTTTGCTTTGAACTTAGCCAAATAAACTTTTATTTTAAACTCTGTTGCAAGCCTGAGCTCATTTAGAACTTTGGCCCACTTGACTTCCCTGCAGACGTTGGCTACTTGTATATACCCTTCCTTTGTGATTTCCCCTTTCTTCCATTTCTTATGCATGACCTTATTAAATCTCAGTTAAACTGTATGCTCCTCATGCAGCCACACAACTTTCTTTAGATGCCTTCCTCTTTTCTTTCTCGTTGAAATTGTCTGCATTTGCACCTTCAACATTTGTCGTTGTCTTTCAAATCCTTTCTGATGCTTTCTAGCCAACCAGGTGAATGTGTTCCGGTGTGTTGGGGGGAATGCTCTGTTTTAAAAAAACCAAACTGAATTCATTGGATATTACACAATAGTTGAGATTTAGTTGAGAGGGCACGTCTTTGATACACAGATCATAAGAAATGATACACAGAAACTGTGCACTTAGAGTGCTTTTAATTATGACTCTTTCTATCCATCTAAATACAGTGGTACCTCGGGTTGAGAACTTAATTCGTTCTGGAGGTCCGTTCTTAACCTGAAACTGTTCTTAACCTGAAGAACCACTTTAGCTAATGGGGCCTCCCGCTGCCACCACGCCACTGCCGCGTGGTTTCTGTTCTCATGCTGAAGCAAAGTGCTTAACCTGAGGTACTATTTCTGGGTTAGTGGAGTCTGTAACCTGAAGCATCTGCAACTTGAAGTGTCTGTAACCCGAGGTACCCCTGTATTATTGTTTTTATGTTATGTAAATGAAATATATGAACAGCTTCTTCTCCAGAGCGATCTCGGCCCTGAATGGGAAGCCTGGACTTTGAAAATCATCTAATCTTCCTTGCTGTATTATACTGTATTGTTTTAATTAGTGTTTTTATAGTTGTTTTGATTTTGTGTGGAGTGCCCTACCTGGGTGGATGGAGCAGCCAAGTAATTTCGTTGTCCCCGAGAGGGGGCAATGACAATAAAGATATTATTATTATTATTATTATTATTATTATTATTATTATTATTATTATTATTAATTTCATTTCTTGAATGACAGGTCTTATACTTGTATGCAATGTGATACCTTATTACCATTTGGTTACTTTGTTTCTTTCTTAATGTGATATGCTTACATTATTAATTTAATAAATCATGTATTTCCTCATCTCAGGTGTTTGTGCTACCCCCGGTAGCAGCCCTGGCAGTGAAGGTTTGTCAAGTGCATTCTTAACTGGCTGCTTATTGAGCATTAGTGACAGCATCTCTTGTATTTTCTGGTACTTGATCAGTAGTTGCTAGGGCTGTTCTCCTTGTTTTGCCTTTGGGGGTGACTTGCTATTATGTGTTATGTACATCTGAATACAAAATATCCTACTATCAATGGCTGTGGGTTTCAGTGGCTTGATATAAAATAGCTAGGGGTGGTTTCATAGAGTTAAGAAGAACATTGCCATTGTTACTCAGTATGTCAGCACAAAACTTTAAAAAGGGGGGTGTCTGGTGAAGTCCACAGAAATCAGAGTGAATTCTGACCTGGAAATGGGCCACTCTGTGCACTCATCCTACGTACAGAAATATCAAAAATGGGCAAAGCTACATTCACTTGTATTAGAGCAGGAGAATCAAGTCAAGAATGACTTCACAATCACTTTCACTTTCATGCTTCTTGGATCCAGGACAGGATGAAACTAGCCTCTCTCTTTTTTTTTTCTTGACAGAAAAGAGATTGTTATTTGTGCTTCCCCTACAACTTCACTTTTATTGGGTATCCTGTCTCCTTTTGAAAAGTTCTTTACGCTTCCAAGAATGCTGGGAATGGTTTTATGCTAGACAGAAAGGCAGCCTGCTTGTGCCTGGACTTTATTAGCTATGTTACAACAGAAGATGTTATCTCCTCTGGCAACATGTTTGCTGTACCTGGAGGCAGTTCTGCAATTTTATCTGATATACTTGAAGAAACTGTTTTATGTGCCTATTTTATACGTAGAATTTTTCTCTAGCAACAGTGACATACGGTGAAATTTTTCACAGGGAAACAGGGCTCATGCATGTGTATTGCTCTGGAGGGCTGTGCAGTTTTGCAGCCTTTGCAGAGGTAATCACACACAGAGAGACAGAGAGGTGTGCATGCACACACATACATACATAGAGCCTGGAGACACTGGCTAAGCAGGTACACAGAAAGGTCCTGCTGAGTACATTAAGGGGACTAGACAGCTCTATCACATTGGCTTCCACAAGCACAGAGTTCAGATAACTTTTCACAGCAATACATACCATGATAGGTAGAATTACACCCAAGAGAGAGGAGAGGCTATTCTGCTTGATATTGCCCTTGCAGAAAGCTCAGTGGGGGAATGGAAGCTTAACATGTCTTTGAACATAGTACAGGAATAGATAGCCTGCGAATCTACAGATGTTGTTTGACTCCAGCTCCCATCAGCTCCACCTACCATGGTAAGTGCTTAGGAGCTATGTCAGTTGTACATCACCAACATCTGGAGAGCCAGAGGTTCCCCATCCCTCCCATTACTTCAAAAGAAAGTATGTGGTGGCTCTTCAGATTCTACCCATAACCTTTCAAATAGCATGAGTATATGCTGGAGAGGAGAGGAGCTGCCACCTTGTTCACTGCAGAGCCTTTAAAAGGTTAGTTTAGAACTGCCCAGTGGTTTGTGATTGTCATTTGCATGGCTACACACATCCATATTTTTCTTGTTTGCATACATGCTTTCTTGCTTAGAGTGATTCTAATGGTGACATTTATAAGCCTACACAAAGTAGGAGTAAAACCTCACCACCAGTGGTGAAGCTGCATAGTCTGCACCGGGGGCGGAGAGCAGGCGGGCGCATGGCGTGATGGTACCCCCCTCCCCAATGGTGCAGGGTGTGGTGTGCTCCCCCACCCCACCCCCCACCCCGTTCCTTCGCCAGTGTTCACCACTGAACTGGTAATCTGACTTGAGGGTGGGGAGAAGGACACCATACCATTTCCAAAACCACACCTCTTCTTTATACAGCAAACCATAGCACATTACCCATTTAAATAAAACTAACTTTTCATTATCCAAAGTTTTTTTCCCCTCTAATGAAGAAAACACAGCTATTCATTTCATTCCTCAACATGGCTCAGTCATGAAAATGTGAATTAATAAATTCGGTTCATCTGCAGGCAGAAGATATCACAGAATAATAATCACAACAAATATATTTTGTCTGTCAGTGTCCTCAGACCAAATCCACAGCATACATTGAAGGCACTAAAATATCTCTTTAAGCAGCCATGATCCAGCAAATTCAATAGTGTAAATTCCCACAATTAATGAGTTTGGGTACAGTTAGAATGTAGAATCCAGGAAATACAGAGGTACCTCGGGTTAAGAACTTAATTCTGGAGGTCCGTTCTTAACCTGAAACTGTTCTTAACCTGAGGTACCACTTTAGCTAATGGGGCCTCCTGCTGCTGGCGCCGCCACCGCACAATTTCTGTTCTCATCCTGAAGCAAAGTTTTTAACCCGAGGTACTATTTCTGGGTTAGCGGAGTCTGTAACCTGAAACCTGAAGTGTCTGTAACCCAAGGTACCACTGTATGTCAATAAAGGAGAGTTGGCATTGTCATTGTTGCATGGAAATAACAAAAAGGCCCTGCTTCATTCCATGTACTCCTGAAATAAAGATATACTCAGTACTTGTTTGCAATGCTTACTAGTCCTTGAAAGTCAAATGATGTGCAAATCCCACAAAGGGGCTTCGCCCATAAGAGTTCAGCACCCTCACATCACTGCATTACTTTTACATTTGCTGACAATCCTCTTCCAAGCTTCCTTCACTTCTTTGTTCCTCAGACTGTATATAAGGGGATTGACCAGAGGTGTCAGGACAGTGTAAAATACAGAAAAAAACTTATTTAGCTCCTTTAGTATTTTTGTTTTTGGTAGCACATAGACAATAATGATTGTTCCATAGAAAATGGACACGACAACCAAATGAGAAGAGCAGGTGGAAAAAGCCTTCTGCCTACCAGTTGCTGAGGGAATTCTCAAAACAGCATTAATGATGTAAACATATGATGTAATGGTTAAGATAAATGACGGAAGTGTGCAGAAGGATGCCATGATGGTCAATGCAAGTTGAACCTTGTAGGTGTCAGTGCAGGACAGTTGAATGATAGGGAGGAAATCACAAAAGAAATGTTCTATTTCACTGTGGCCACAGAATGTTAGCTCAGATACAAAAACGATCAATACAGTGTTTTCTATGAAACCACACAGCCAAGATGCAGCTACCAGTTGAAGGCAAACCTTGTTGTTCATTATTCTTGTGTAATGCAGGGGTTTACATATTGCAGCATAGCGATCGTAAGACATCGCCGAAAGAAGGTAGCATTCGGATGCTGCTAAGGACGCTGCAAGCCACAACTGCATAAGGCAGCCATGGACAGGGACTATCCTTTTCCCAGTCAATAAACTATTCAACATTCTGGGCAGGATTGTTGAGGTATAGCAGGCCTCCAAAGAAGACAAATTCCCCAGAAAGAAGTACATGGGAGTATGAAGGCGCTGATCGGTCACAATTAGGACAATGATAAGGATGTTCCCAGTCATAGTCAAAGCGTAGATGATTAGAAAGAGAAGGAAAAGAAGAATTTGCAGGTGCTGGAGATCCCCAAATCCAAGGAGGATGAATTCAGTTGTCATAGTTCGATTCACCCACTCTGATTCTACCATGGTTGTGTTTTTTTTCTAGAGGCAAATAAAATAAAAGACATGCAATGATGCTTATATTGCAATTCTGGTGAATAGAACATATGGTTCTAGGATAGATCATATACCAGTAGTTTTCTCTATGGAGGCCCAGTTTCTCATTCCAGTTCTGTAAATTCTGGTGGGGGAGGAAGAAGGTCAGGCCAGAGTTTTCAGTTCATTAAAGAGGCATGTTGAATATGATCTATTTAGATATTTCAGTATCTCACTCAGATATTTCACTGTCACAGTATGGTGAATTATGATGCTCACCTGAATTAACAGCAATAGAAATTACCTGTATTCCTTAGTCAGAAAATCTAAAGCTTGGGACTTGTACTTATATAGCAGTTAAATCTGTTGTTATTGCAAAAGGACTTGATTATCTTCTCAGATCTGGCAGTCACCATTCCCATTGTTCCTGATCTGTGTTCCGAATCTACTGTTTAAGAGGAAAATAAATATTTTTGTCCTAATTGAACTCTTGAGGCAGTACTGCTGCTCCTAGTTCCAACAAATCTGTTTTACCCTTTAAGGAATATGTACCCCCAGTACAATTCATTAAAAAACTAGTGCTGTGTGAAAAATGTCTTCTGTGTTTTCCCCCTACCCATTCTCCACAAGAAAATAAATCACACTCAGAAATTGTCGAAGAGAGAAAAATGTCGGTGAAATTCTCAAGAGTGGGTTGAAGATTTTATGTTGCACTTACTTTTGTGAATTTCCTATCTTTTGTTCTACAGATCATTTCTCTGATAATCTGCACTCTGTTCTGTAAAACAGATACAGTATAGATAAAATTTCTGACTGGTGATGTATATACTGTATTGTTGTGCAGTGTTGTATATTGTGGTGTATGGTGGATTGCCGTGTAAGTTAATGTTGTTTGTCAAATAAAGTATTTTTGAAAAAATAAAATAGAGGACAAAGGGCCTTGGTGTGAGATGGGAAATGGGTGGGCCCCCTCCCTCCCCCCTCCCTCCCTCAAAAGATAAAGCCAGAGTTTGAAGTAGAGTTTTGTGGTGATCTGGGTCAGAAGCAAGGCAGCAAGCTGAAGAGGTCCAGAGTGTAGATGCAAAGAGGAAAGTGCCTCAGAAGGGTGAGCTAACTGGGGCTGAGAAGCTGCAGCTCATTGATTTTGCCACTCTCTGGGAGCCTGCTGTGGAAGAAGGGGTGCAGCAGGAGGAATTGGAGGTACTGTATGTGTGAACATGCTGGAGGAGCAGCCAGCAGCTGAAGAAATGGTGGCTTATTTAAATAAACCATATTTCATAAACATACCCCAGTCTCTTCTGTGCCTTACTTCCAAAGGAAACACGAACCCTTGGTAAGCACCTGGAACCCTTGGAATCTTGCACCATTTGGAGATGGTGGTAGACTGCAACAATACTTTGCTTTAACTTTTGTTTCATCATGTAGATCACTTTCGGTCACTTTTTTTTGGAAAAAACCAAACAAAAAGATTGATTAGTGCTTATTATTAAGATTATTATATGTGGACAATGCTCTGGAAATGATGCTTCATCACACATAATGTCAGAGACTTCTGGGTGGCAGTTGTGTTGTTCCCAGGGAATTGTGGGTAGAATGAAAAGTTCCACTACTTTGAAGTACGGTGTAGCTTTCTTCAAAAATACATCACCAGTTGTTATGCTGCTGCAGCCTAATATGAGCCTGGATCCTTTGGGAATTTTCACTCCTGGGTAGATGAGGAAAAATGGTGGAGACCATTGTCCCAGGCATCGCCTAGAGAGGAGGAAGAGGCAGATAGCATAGACCTCCAGGGGTGGTTTGGCACAGGGCATACCTCAGAGGGAGATGAGGGCAAAAGTTGGGAAATAATAGGAGAGGAGGAGGAGGAAGTGGAGAGCATTCAACTGGCAGAGCCTGAGCAGCACTTGAATGAGAATAGAGAACAGAGAGCTCAGAGGCAACTGTCACGTACCAGCCACCGTTGGAGGCAGGAGGATGAATAGCGATGAATAGGGGAATAACGTAGAAGGGGTGGAGTTTCATTCGGGGCAACGTTAGGTATCATGGAGCATCTTCAATTTGCCTCTGTAACTTGTATTAATAAACAGAACACTGCTTTCCTGGGAATTGGCTGCAGCTGCCAACAGCACCCTGACAATGCCCTCTGCATCCAATTCTAAAAAATTTATGGTGAATGGTTCTATGGAGCCCAAAGCTGAGTTTTTACATTACAATTCAAAAATGCAAGTTCTTTGTTGTACTCACACAGTTTCTGGTTGAACACTGATTAATTATAGCTCAGTTTCCTAGTAGCTTTAGGCAAAAGACTGCAGTAATAGTAGGGTCGCCATACACCATTTTTGCCAATTTCCCTTGAGAATAGCTTAAAAACTGCATTCTTTTGTGATTTTGCCAAAAAAGCAACCCTAAGTAATAGCCAAAGATGAATACAAAATAAATCATCCAACCACAGCAAGTTTCAAAATAGAATCCACTTAATAGAGACAACCTGATGAAAACACAAGACCACAAAAGTACAGGGTGGGGATTTTGACTCCTTCCTCATTTTGTTATGTGCTGTCAAACCATAGGAACAAGATTGCTGGTAAAATCTGCATTACATCTTAATGCTATTGAACATTTGCATCTTAACCACATTACACAGTGCCCTCTGAAGCCATTTTAACAGGAGACACTTAGATATTTGTGTCTCCCACATCTGTGAATGCAAATCCACATTACAACAAACCATGTGCCTTACACAAGGAGCTTCCATGTGTACAGTAATGTCCCCGCTTCAGAAGTAGCAACTAAACATGGGAGCTACCAAAAAAATGCTATGGAGGTGAGGTAAAGGTGTGGGCTTGCAGTACTGTTGTATCTATGTTGCTTCCTCACAGCAGCAAAGCTTGAAGAAGCCTACAATGTGAAGTAATTTGCCCACTTTCTGATAGCTCTCCCCAGGGCCATCTTCACCTCTTTGTTCCTCAGGCTGTATATATAAGGATTGACCAGAGGTGTCAAGATGGTGTAAAAGACAGAGAAACCTTTATTCAGCTCTCTCAGTTCAGTTGTGTCTGGCAAAAGATACACAATGATGAGGGTGCCATAGAAAATAGTCACCACAATGAGGTGAGAAGAGCAAGTAGAGAAGGCCTTTTGCCTCCCTGCGGTAGATGGGATTCCAAGAACGGTAGTGATGATGTACACATATGATGTTATTGTTAAAACGAATGGTGGCAAGGTGCAGAGTGAGGACAGGACAGTTGATAAAAGCTCTACTTGGTGTGCATCACTGCAGGTCAGTTTCGTCATGGGGATGAAATCACAAATGAAATGCTCAATGACATTGTGGCCACAGAAGGTTAACTGTGCCATAAAAATTAACAAGATTGAATTTATCACAAAACCTCCAAACCAAGACCCAGCTACCAGCTGGAGGCAAAGCTTGAAATTCATCAGGACTGAGTAATGCAGGGGTTGACATATGGCCACATAGCGATCATAAGACATTGCTGCCAGGAGATAGCACTCTGTTGCAGCCAAAAACCCAAAAGCCCAAAATTGCACAATGCAGCCCCAGACAGAAACACTTTGGTTCTCAGTTATGAAACTGGCCAGCAATCTGGGGAGGATGGTTGAGCTGTAGCAGGTCTCCAAGCAAGACAAATTGCCCAGGAAAACGTGCATTGGTGTGTGGAGGTGCTGATCTGTCATGACTAGTGTAAGTATAATCAGGTTCCCAGCCATGGTCATGATGTGGTCTGTTAGAAACACAACAAAGAGAAGAATCTGGAGGTCCCGGACTTCTCCAAATCCAAGTAGAATGAATTCTGTGATGATGGTTTGATTTACCCATTCTAGTCTTTGCATAGTTTTCATCTAGTGGAGTGGGAAGATAGCAATTAATGCAATTACTATTAGTTTTTTTAAACACAGTTTCAGTAACATCCAACTAAGCTTTAAGCTCTTCAGTTGTGTGTAGGCTATATCAATTGGTTCCATTCTATGAACAGGAGTCTTTCCATTCATGGAAAAGTCCTTGATCTAGTGAAAGCCTCTCAAGGATGGGTCATGATTTTCACTGATGTCCTTATCTCCCTTTGACCCTTTGGTTTCCATGCTGCTTCAGAGGGTGCACCAATTCTTGGGATCAGGTTTTCAGAGGAGAATGGGCAAGAATCACAATAGATAATTGATTTAAGTAGCTTTAAACACATTTAATTTCAGCAGTTTGTGCTCACTGGACACGATCTGTTTAAATTTTATATAAATTGTTTATTTAGAACATATGGGGTTAATAAAATATTCTAGTTTGGTATCTAAAAAGAAAAGAAGAAGAAGAAAAAACCTTCCATCTTCTGAATTTCATTGTCATCCAACCAAGGAATGGATTTTTTTTTGTTTAGATTTTCAAATGTTATGCTAAAGAATCAAGTAGGTAGCCATGTTGGTCTGATGCAGTCTATATATATATATAAAGTCCAGTAGCACCCTAACAAACTAAGTTTGTTCTTGGTACAAGTTGTCGTTCTGAAGAAAGCTTATACCAGCCTTTCTTAACCTGTGGGTCCCCAGATGTTGTTGGACTACAACTCCCATCAGCCCTAGCTAGCAAGGCCAGAGCTCAGGGATGATGGGAGTTGTAGTCCAACAACATTTGGGGACCCACAGGTTGAGGACCACTGGCTTATACCCAGAACAAACTTAGTTGGTCTCTATGGTGCTACTGGATATATATATATATATATATATATATATATATATATATATGCTTTCGTAGATTTTCACGGGTACAGGAATGCAGGTTTTGGTGTCCTCGGGTGTCTTCCCGTGTAAAAGTTGGGGTGTCTAGGCGACGTTTCGACGAGGTCTCACTCGTCATCTTCAGGCTGGTGCTTTCGGCTTCTTGTTACTGGAACAGAGCAGGATCTCAGTGTTTGAGTTCCTATAAATACTGTTGAGGGGGTGTGGTGTATAGCCTCCAATGTTCTGGGCAGAGAGGAAGTTCCCAGGCTAGTGTGCCTTTTCTTCTTTTGTTCCTTAATTACTTGAGGGATATCTTGAGTGATTTCTTGAGTGATATTCTGAGTACCACTTAGGTGGGTCATTAGGTGTGGATTAGTTGCTCAAGCCTTCGTGTCTTGACCTCTTGAACTTTGTGAAGAGTTTTTCTGAGAAGATGGCTGTACTGCACTTAGTTGTGCTCTGGCTTGGCTTCGGGTATAGGGGCGAGCTGTGGTTTTGTGCCCTGTGCCAGCCAGATCTGTGTAGGGATTGCAGGGGGGTGCCGCATCCGGAGGTGCCACTATGGTTTGGCTACTGGATGGTGTCTGTAATTTATCCGTGGAGAGGGTCTCAAGATATCCCTCAAGATATCCCTCAAGTAATTAAGGAACAAAAGAAGAAAAGGCACACTAGCCTGGGAACTTCCTCTCTGCCCAGAACATTGGAGGCTATACACCACACCCCCTCAACAGTATTTATAGGAACTCAAACACTGAGATCCTGCTCTGTTCCAGTAACAAGAAGCCGAAAGCACCAGCCTGAAGATGACGAGTGAGACCTCGTCGAAACGTCGCCTAGACACCCCAACTTTTACACGGGAAGACACCCGAGGACACCAAAACCTGCATATATATATATATATATATATATGCGCTAAAGAATGTGCAGTATATTTTCCAAACAAAGCATCAATATATAGTTGCTCAATGGATACATGCAGGGTCTCCACCCTTTTCTATCTCCTGCAAGTTGCAAAGAGATCTATGAACAACAACAAAAACAGTAATTCTATTTGTCTGGAAGTGGGCCCCATTGAATCCAACAGAATTTCTTCTGAGTTGGCATGATTAGGATTATGCTGTAAGACACATTGTTCTCCTTAAAAAAATAAAAATAAAATAATTGACAGCTTTCTGACATGCTTTCTAGATCTGTCAAAACAAATAATAAACCAGGGAGGCAAGCTGAAAGTAATTGATGAATACAAAATAAAATTTAAAATATCAATAAATACAAAATAAAATTGCAAAGATTAAAAAGATTTTTAGAAAATGGTAGCTGTCTCTTTTGCCGTTGCTGAAGAGCATGGGAAAGTATTGCTCACCTGAATTCCAATTTGCTAGAAATCTTTGAAGTTCAACTTCTGGCCTTCAAAACCAGTTGCTTTAAATATTGAGATGAAGCTACTTCAGTCATGCTCGTGGATCAGCTACAATGAGAAAGGTTCATTTGCGCCTGAATGTTCAAAGTTCTTTATATGAGTTACAATTGCTTAAGAAGAGTGGGAAAGCAGCAAATACTCATATCCTAATTAGACTCTTGGGAAATCTTTGGGTTTAGTTTCCAAATCAGTTTTGTGCATCTCTTTGAAGAACATCTACCTCAGATGAATACATTCAAAATGGGAAGGCTTCCTATCCTATCCTTTCCTCCCCTCCCTGAATTAAGCCTTTTGAATAAAGATTTTATTAGACATTACAGATTAGAATTTGCCTAATTCAAAACCTTTAGTAAATTTGAAGTGTTTCCTCTTCAGACTTACTACCTAAGAGATTTCAAAGGAAGCCCTAACAGTGTTGTTAACGATCACAAAATTTGTAACCTTATCCAATGTATATATTTTATAAATATATGAAACCCTTTCTTTCAGCAGCAAGTACAAAACAGAACAAATAAAATTGCAGGCCCAGGCCGCGCACTTCCTCCGCTCCTCCCCTCAGGTGAGCCACCAATAAAGGAGACCACCCAGCTGAATGGGATCAAATCAGGCCACAAATTTATTGACTACAGATGAAGTGGTTTGGCATAGGCATTGGGTAAGCAATTATTTCCAGGCTGCCTTCCAGAAATGACATCAGGGTCAACCCAACAGCAAGAATTCCCACAGGGGTCACAGCTTCTAGAAGTGCTGAGGGTCAAGCCCCCCAACTGGGCAAGTGGACAGAAGCAACTCCATCACAGATCCCTTTAAAGTGATATCCTACTTCTGGAAAGAAAGGTGAGGGTACAACCCCCCCCACATACACAAAAGCTAATGTTAGTAAAGGTAAAGGGACCCCTGACCATTAGGTCCAGTCATGACCGACTCTGGGGTTGCTGCGCTCATCTCATTTTATTGGCCAAGGGAGCCAGCATACAGCTTCTGGGTCATGTGGCCAACATGACTAAGCCACTTCTGGCGAACCAGAGCAGTGCACGGAAACGCCGTTTACCTTCGCGCCAGAGCGGTACCTATTTATCTACTTGCACTTTGATGTGCTTTCGAACTGCTAGGTTGGCAGGAGCAGGGACCGAGCAACGGGAGCTCACCCCATTGTGGGGATTCGAACCGTCGACCTTCTGATCGGCAAGTCCTAGGCTCTGTGGTTCAACCCACAGTGCCACCTGTGTCCCTGTAAAGGCTAATGTTACCCAATGCTTAAACCACCCAAGTTGTGATGATTGCTACCGGGTAGACAAAACCTCCAGGTCATAGCCAATTTGCCTGATAGGCAAATTCCTACCCAGCCCCACAAATATGACAACCAACGCAGCAATAGCAAGGTCAATTCAATGAGTAAATGCAAAAATTACTGGAGTGGGTGGGTGGGTGGGTTGATCTGACGAAGAAGTGCTGGGCATCGGGGGCTGGCATGGGCTGTTTCAAATCCTCTGGGAGCAGACCTGAAAGAAGCCTGATGGTTCCCTCAAGCCCCAGCCCTCCGGGCCAGCTTGCCATTGGCCAATTCAGCAGGCTGATGCAGAGCAGGATTTCAGAATTGAGTCAGTTTACAAAAACTTCAAGCCATCACAATCAAGTGACATAAGTCAGTGGTTTTCAACCTTTTTGAGTCCATGGCTCCCTTGACCAACTACATTCTTTCTGCAACACCCCTCTGGGGCTCAGAAGCCCATGGCACCCCTTGCCTGTAGAGGTGGCAGCCTCTCGCCCTTTCTTAAACACCCTCCATTGTGGAGTGTTCCCTCATTCTCCTCTCCTCCACCCTCTCCTTGGGAGTCCTCTTGGCAGCCACTGCTGCCACCCCTGGTCTCTGAGCTGCCCCCCTGCCCTAAAGAGAGGTGCCTCCCCCCGCCCCAAAGAGAGGTGCCACCTCACACTGTCCCACAGGGGTTTGTCCATTCCCAACAGCAAGGGCTGGCAGACTGGCTGGCTGGGCTCCCTCGCCCTCTTGCTTGCTTATTCTGGGGCCACATCAGCTCCTGGCAACCAGCACCCCCTGGCCAGCTCCAGAGGCATAATTTGCCCACAGAGCTTGTCATCAGGATTGCTGCAACAAACAGCTGTGCAAGCCTTTTGGAGGCAAAGATGCGAGAGGACATCAGAGGAGGGAGGAAAGGAAAGAGGGACAGAGGCCAGTGTTGCCTATGGCACCCCTGACTATAATTCAAGGCACCCCAAGATGCCATGGCACACTGGCTGAAAACCACTGACTAAGTGAATATGTGAATATTCACTCAACAGCCATTCATGTGGTATCTGAAATGAAGCTGCATGCTTCAGACTTCTATAACCATATATCACATGGAAATCAAACAGTAAAATAGGTTCCCTCTCCCATGTGTACACGTACCACCCCCACCCCTACAGAATCTTCTCTTCTCAGCTTGAGTTGCCTCTTGGGATTGAAGCTTGGGAGTGAAGAGCTATAAGAGGCAAATATTGATAAAGTTCTTTGCCACATTGTCTTTCAACATCTGCCAATTAATATATGACCAACAGAACACACATAATCACTTCTAAATATTTATTTCAATGCTTGATTAGACCCATGGGAGTGAATGAACCAAATATAAACTTCATTGCCATGTCTCTTTCATTTCTGTCAATGCAAAGAGCAATTAGACAGATCATCTTTGAAACAGAT